TTTAGCAATATGACACTGAAGATAAAATCTATAACATGTTGAATGTCATGTATAGAGGGTACGTAACACATATTGTAGTTAGAGGGAAAGATATTTAGAAATTCTTTTAACATTTCCCCTATCTCTTCAGATAGTTCATCTAAATTTTTTTCTATGAGCTCCTTGGGTATTAAGACAGACACAACAAACTCTTTACGAACCTTCTTTTCAAACTTCTTATGACTTATTATGCTAAACTTTTTTTTTTCACCTTTTCCTTCTTCTTGTTATTATCATTAGGCCTTGGTGATAATCTAATGAGTTGAATCTTTTTACTATGAAAAGTGAATGAGTAAGAATTTGATTGCCCAAAGATAGTAATGTCTAATTCATATAACTAAGGCCTACCTAAAATGACATGTCCTATCTCTATATAAATTACATCACACTAAATTTCATTATGATAGTCCAAACTCTTTATTGGAAAAAGAAATCTCTCCTTGATCATCATGGATGTATTGTTAACTCATGGCACACTATATGGTTTAGGATATGGGACAAACTTTAAGCCTAAACAGGGTATGCTACTAGAGGACATTGCATTGATATAACTCCAACTATCTATAATGATATTAACATGTTTAATGTAAATGTAAAAGATAGTTGTTCTCCTCCAATCCTCAATTCTTTTAGGTTATATTAAGGTAACTAGATTTAACTTAGTTATCTCCCATTTTACAAAGTCTTGCTCGATCTGAACGGATATAGACCTAACACATCCTAGCAGATTAGACTCTTCCTTTTCATCATTTAGATTCTATAAATCATCAGGATTAGGTTCATACATCTTATCATTACAATTGTCTTCTTTACCTATATTCTCTCAATCCTTGATGAATAAAACCTTATTGGGACACCCAGAGACAAAACCCTGACACTTAATACATTAAATCCTTGAGGTTATATTAGGTGTTAAATGGAGAAAAACCTTCCTCTTGTCTTTCCTAGGCATCTATAAAATAGTAGGATTAGGTTTACGATGTGAATCACCCAACAAAGAATTATTATTATCAGGTTGGGACTTACGATGTGAATCACCCAATAAAGAATTATTATTATCAGGTTGGGACTTAAGAGGGATACTACAAGTGTCTTAATGTTCTATCAACTAACTGCTTATGACCAACTCGTAGTTTTATACTAGGGTATAAGCTTCATCAAGGGTGGACACACCTCTAAACGTAACCTCTCTCTTAAGGTAATCATTTAAGCCTTTCTGAAATCTACTTAAAGTCATTTTCTCATCCTCCTTAAACACACACTTTATCCTATATTTTTCATAACCTATTTTTGGCCCCCCCGCATGAAAAATAATAAAATATAAAAAAATCAAAAAAATTATAAAAAATATGAACAGTGAAAAAAATGATGTCAGCGTATCCTAAAAATGGGTAAAAATTGATTGAGGAGTTAAAAAATACAAAACTTAAAATTTGGTAGTATTTTATTGACTGATGACAGTCCTGTTGACAAAGAAAATTCAATTTGAGTAAGAAAAATCCAAAATCAGATGTTTATGGATTCAATTAAATTTTATTGAAGGTTTAATTGAATTGATGGAGAGTTTGATTGCATGAAAAATTGATTTTAGGGTCAATTTAGGTTTTAATGGGAAGAAATTAAAGTTTTGGGGTCAAATTATAATTTTTAGAAGTTAATTTGGTCAAATCAGGGGTTTAATTATATAAATATTGAAGTTTTATGGCCAATTAGGGACTTAATAGAAGAAATCTGAAACCAAGGACCAAAATAAAAAAGGCACATAAGTAGAGGGGCTGGAATTAAAACCGGTCAGGGGCCAAATTAAATAAATTAGAAGTTAATTGCTCAATTGAGGGTCAAATTGCATGATATTAAGACCAATGACTAAAGTGAAAAAGACGGCCAACTATAGGGTCGCTGTTGGATTTTTGGTAGGGATGCAATTGCATTGATTTTAAATTAAAATTATAATTTAGGATGTGATTGAACAAATGACAAATTGAGGATCAATATGAAAATTCACACGTTTTTGCCGCCTTTTCATTTAAATGAAACGACGCTTTTTACCAAAACGACACCGTTTTATGCATTGTTTTTTTTTTTAAAGGAAAAAACTTAAAATAGTGCCATTTTGAACGTCAAGTTCATCTTCTTCCTAGACGTGCAGAGAAACAGGGGAAGGAAGCTTTTGTTCCCCTGTTTTCACCATCTCTTTTTTCCCCTTTCTTTTTTTGTTCCAAAAGAAATCGAAAAAATCCCCACCTGCCTGCCACATGGTGGAAGAAGAAGGGATGCACCCCAGGGCAGTTCTGGGGTGATAGCATAGTAGCCATCCCAGCTGTTTCACTGCCCTTCTCTGCCTATAAAAATAGAGGTAGAGAAGAAACCCGAAAGGAAAAAAAAGAAGAAAAGAAAAACAGAGAGAGAAGGAGAGAGAGCAAAAACAGACTGAGAGAGAAAGGACCGAGAGACGAGAGAGAAAAAGAGAAGAAGAAGCAGAAAAGAGAAACAAAATGGAGGATAGAGAGAGAAAGAAAAAACAGAGCAAATCACCGGCCACCGTCTCCACTATAGCGAGCCACCGTCGACGACAACAACCGCGCCTCATCTCACCGGGTAAGCTTCCTTTCTTCTTTGCTCCGTCTTCTCTTTTCCTTTCATTGGCATGCAGAACATAATTCACGTTCTATTGCCAATGAATAATTGGTTGGTTACTGTGCTGTGTACAGTAACTGGCCAATTATCATTTTAATGGGCCAGCCTTGGTCCATTTTTCATGTTGGGCCGGTTCAGGCTCATTTTGTTTTGTATTGGAGCCAGCCTATTTCATTTTGGTTTTGGGCCAACGCCGGTCCGTTTCATTTTGGTTTTGGGCCATAGTAGGCCCGCTTCATGTCGGGCCAGTGCTGACCCATTTTCATGTCAGGCCGGTGCTGATCCATTTTGTTGTATGTTAGGCTGGTGCTAGCCTATCATTTTTTATGTTGGGCCATGCTAGCCCATTCCAAATAAATACACTGTAAAAATACAAACCCGGTATTAAAATATCCGGTTTTCGTCAAAACTTTCAAAAAATACAAAAAAACAAAAAAAACAAAAAATATTTTTGTAAATACGGCCAAGTGTCTCAAAGCTAACAAAAAATCATATTGTATTTTTTATACACCAAAAATAATATTTTATCATGCATTTTAGCTTTAATAACCGGTTTATTAAAGTTAAGAGAACATTGGTTAAAATTTTAAAAATAACAAAAATTTTATTTTATTTATCGCTTAGTATCTGGGGTATGACATCATACGTAATGTGTATTCTGGATATTTAATTGATGTTTTGGACAATAGAACGATGAGTTTTAACCTCATTTTAAGATAAGAACCTCCTTATTGTGGAGGGCTTGTTTTGAACCTTAGACAGGCCAACAATAAAAAATCACAAAATAAGATGTTAGATTTGATCAAACCAAACAAAGCAGCCTACCTTAGGTAGGGCGTATTTGGGGTGCTAATATCTTCCCTTTACGCAACTAGTCTCCGTACCTAATCTCTGAGACTAGTTAGGGTTCCTAGTAACCAGAATACTTTGTGGTGACTCCTATTTAATTTTTCATTAATAAGAGACATATTCACTGTCTCTTCATATTTTTCAGGAAATACACCATATCCATATTTCCATATTTTTCCTAGATGGTGAACGATCGCCGCGACGTCGCACACGTGCGACAATATTCATCAAATTATGCCTTATAACGATCGCCGCGACGTCGCACATTTGCGACAATATTCATCAAATTATGCCTTATATTCATTAGCGATGCCCTGTCAATGATGTGGCACTGACGCTGAACTAGTGAATTAGTCTGCCTTAAGAGACTAGTTTCTTTATTGCTATTGAGGTTATGACCGGCGTAAAAAAGGTAGATCTAATGGTGTGTTGTGATCTTCAACCATTGTGTTGTTATTGTTATGATCAACATTGTTGTAGTTAAGGGAGTGAGTGTTATCTATTGCTAAAATAAATGGAGAAAAGTTATTGGTGTATTGTAGCTCTTGTCGCTAATGTGCCAAGATTTGGAATGTTGGAGGTGACAAATTGATCTGGATTTATGAGCAACAATTGCTACTAGTGGGTAGTAGTTGTTGGCTGAGGGAATAATATGTTTTTAGGGATGATGAGTTTGTGTTGAAGATGAACATAAAATATTTTTCTTAATCTCAACTATAAATAGAATAATTAAAGGATTTTTCTTAGTCTAGATCAATTATTGATGATGATCAACCTAGAAATCTTCACAAGTCCTAAGAGATCCATTAACTTGAAAAACAATTAAAAGTTTGTTCTTTAATACAAAAGATGATACAAAATAATAAATAAAAAAAATAAAAGTAGGAAAAGAAAGAAAGAAGCCAAGAATTAAAAGCAAGGAAAGAAAAGCTGCGAAGAAGAGAGAATGTTGAGGAGGAATAATATGTGATTTTTTATTCAATTTATCAAAACTGTCTTATAAATTGAAAGAGAAACATATAAATAATATAGACTTAAAACATTAAACTTGTAGGCTCAGCCTATTAATTAAAATTAACTAATATAAATAACTCAAATAAATTATCTAATATAAGTAACCCAAAAAATAACAAGCTGGACCATTCTTCATTGTTTTTATCTATAATCTACGGTGTAGATTTAGCATCCCACCATTCACTTAAGCCGTAAGTTGTTAGATAACGAAGTTTTTGCTACCACATTGAATTTTTCCAACTCCAATTTCTTACAAAAATCTCCGTAAGAATTTAACTACCTAGACACGCAATCATGCGGAGGCATGGACCCCTAAACTTTCTAAAGTTACATAATTCTTCTCTCTCTCTCTCTCTGTCTGTCTGTCTGTCTCTCTCTCTCTCTCTATATATATATATATAAATATATTAGTTGAGATATTGAAATTTCAACTGTAAACATTTTCTAAAGCTATCTTTGTTATAAATTAGAGCTTCTCTTCTCTTTCCCTCTTCATTCGTCGCCTCTTCTAACTCTTCCCTCTGGAAACATGTTGCGTCTTCTGTTTCTGTTAACTTGTGCTTTGGCTCTTCTAACTTCTTCAGTGGCTTCTGCCGCAATTGTGGAACACTCATTCCATGTAATTCTTCTTCTTTCTTATATTACTACTAAGATGTTTTGTTGTCGTTGAGGAAGTTGAATCGTGGTCCTTGTATATAGTTTCCCGTTTTGGTAAATTATCTCATGCAAAGGTTGCATTAGGATTGTTGTCGTTAATTAAACGATATATGAGTGGCCAGGATATATAGGATGGTAACCCTGTTATACCTTGAAGTTTCTTACATAGGAAAAACATTCATCAAATTAGTCATACCCTTTTGTTTTATCTTGAGCTCCTACTACGTTGTGTGGCAAATTCAATACACTTCTTCCCACGATCATCCAAGTTATGGAATTTTTTCATCCACTTGGACCGACCTAGATTGCATATCCTAGCAATATTAGTCTGACGTCGGAGTGTGTGTGTGTGTGTAGGCATGCAAAGATATTTTCTACTTGCTTAAACCTTTGCAGATTGATGGGTTTAATTTATTGTGAATGTTTTAGGTGAAAAACCTTACAGTTCGTCGGCTGTGCTCCGAGCAAGTGGTAACTGCAGTGAATGGAAGCTTGCCAGGCCCAACGCTTCGCGTTCGAGAGGGAGACACCCTCATAGTCCATGTTTTTAACAAGTCACCCTACAACCTGACTATTCACTGGTAAATTAATTCTTGATTTTTTATTTAAGAAGCTAGACAATTGTAAAAATTCTAATTGGTGTATTAGAAAATAAACACGTTGATTTGTAAACTATGATGAAAATTAAGACAATTCGTTTCGAGCTTGCCAAGTAATTTCACTAGAAATTAGCAGCTTAATAACCATATTCTTGCACATCTTTTTCTGGTATATAAACTAATGTTGTCTCAACCAAGATACCATCCTTTTCCTTAGTCAACCATAAAATTAGATCATAATATCAAATTTGTCTTCAAGTGATCCAATAAGAAAACTATAATTGAATACATGAGAAAGTTATTCTTCAACTGCTGTTGGCTAATATAAATATGATTAACAAATTTACTAAAGACTTGGTTCTGTAGCTGTCATCATCGTAGTAGTCGTCATCACTATCATCCCTCTTACTTTTAAATCTATCATTATTCAATTAATTACTGATTATGTACTTTTTTATGGAGGCATGGAGTGTTTCAATTACTTAGTGCGTGGGCCGATGGACCTAATATGGTAACTCAATGTCCAATACCCCCTGGAGGTAAATACACCTACAAATTTGAACTCCTCCAGCAGGAGGGCACGCTATGGTGGCATGCTCATGTCAGTTTTCTCAGAGCAACAGTTTATGGGGCACTTGTTATCCGTCCAAGATCTGGTCATCGTTACCCTTTCCCTAAACCCTACAGAGAAGTTCCAATTCTATTAGGTAGGTAGCTAGCCATTGATTTTTAATCTAAAGCCAGTTCATTAATGCTGAAACTGTTATTAATTTGTTGAGATCATGCATGGTGATGCATTTATGTTTATATGATTGCAGGAGAGTGGTGGAATGCTAATGTTGTTGATGTCGAAAACCAGGCAGAAGCCATTGGTGCACCACCTAACATTTCGGATGCCTACACCATAAATGGACTCCCTGGGGATCTCTACAATTGCTCTCAAAACAGTAAGTAATAATATATATGCCACCATCATCATCAATCTATGATATTCATAATAGAGATTTACTGGTCTATCAGAGATGGAACAGTAAAGGTTGAATTTGTCCACAAGCATATTAATTAATACTGACATTTTTTTTATTTTTAGTTTTTCATTTGAAACTGTCTTGACTCATTACTTTATGGTTTATTTTGCTCCTGAAATTCCAGGAATGTACAAGCTTAAGGTGCAGAAAGGGAAGACTTATCTCCTCCGAATAATCAACGCTGCACTCAATAACCAGCTCTTTTTCAAGATAGCCAATCATAATATGACAGTCGTTGCTGTCGATGCAGGGTACACGGTACCCTATATCACGGATGTTGTAGTCACCGGACCCGGCCAGACCGTGGACGTTCTTCTCGCAGCCGACCAGGAAGTGGGGTCTTATTTCATGGCTGCAAACGCATATGCTAGTGCTGGTCCTGCTCCTCCCGCTTTTCCTGCACCTCCACCCTTTGATAATACAACCACGAGAGGAATTGTTGTCTACGAAGGTGCACCCACATCAGCAACTCCGATAATGCCACTATTGCCTGAGTTCAATGACACCCCCACTGCCCACAAGTTCTTCACCAGCATTACTGGCCTTGCTGGTGGGCCTCATTGGGTCCCAGTCCCACGTCAAATTGATGAGCACATGTTTGTGACAGTAGGCTTGGGGCTCTCAATTTGTCCAACATGTTTAAACCGGACGCGACTCTCTGCTAGCATGAACAATTTCTCTTTTGCGCGCCCTACAAGTTTGTCGATGTTGCAAGCCTTCTTTTTCAACGTGAGTGGAATCTACACTCCTGACTTCCCTGATACTCCTCCTGTCATATTTGACTACACTAATATCATCAACGCCGTAAATCCATCACTGTTAATCACACCAAAATCAACAAGTGTGAAGGTGTTGAAGTATAACGCTGCGGTGGAGATGGTGTTACAGAACACAGCCTTACTTGGAGTGGAGAATCATCCCATACATCTTCACGGTTTCAATTTCCATGTGTTGGCTCAAGGGTTTGGAAATTATGATCCTGTCAACGACCCTAAGAAGTTCAATCTTATCAATCCACAATCACGGAACACTATTAACGTGCCGGTGGGAGGATGGGGAGTCATAAGATTTACAGCCAATAATCCAGGTGTATGGTTCTTTCACTGTCATCTGGATGTGCACTTGCCCTTTGGATTAGCCACCGCTTTCGTGGTTGAGAATGGACCGACCCCGGAATCTACTTTGCCACCACCTCCAGTTGATCTGCCTCAGTGTTAGTAATTGTTCGGAATCCCGACGACCGGTCTTCATTGTTGTTTCCATATAATACGATTCTCTCCCTTTTATTTCTTTCCCTGCAACGATGAAAGTTGTGGACCAATTATCACTTTAGCTGTTTAGAATTTCGTTTCAAATAATGTTTAATGAAAATTTAATTTTTTTTATTTTACTAATATAAAAAATAATTTCTAAAAAATATTATTTTAATATATTTTTAAATAAAAACACTTTAAATAATAACAATTACTATACTTTCAAACATACCCTCCACGCATTCATGTGCCAGAGTTTAAATTCTTTGATTGGATGTAATAGTTATAATTTTATTTTTCAAACTTTGATATTTGTGTATTATATTTACGAGGAATAAACATTAGTTTTTGTGTCTTACACCTTGAAAAGTGTATTATTGTTATCTCTATTGTTAATTAAAGGTTAATCTATCATCAATTAGTATTAACTTCGTACATTCATTTGAGAAGTTTTAGGTAATAGGATTCCGAGTTCAAGTAAAAGAACACATTTAGCTGTAATTGAAAATTTGTACAATAACCTAATAACAATGATGAATAAAGATCTGAAATTTTAAATCCTGCCTTTTAATTTGAATTTGTGTGCAATGTAAACATAAATTTGAGCACCATAAATTAAATAAGCATACATGTATAAATATATGATTTCATTAAATATATAATTGGATACAATTTCTATCTAAAATATTTTTTCAAAAAAATAAGACAATCTTCTAATTCTTCTCTTGAATTTCATATACGGTGACTTGATTTATTTGAGAAATCATACTAAGATTTGTACTTTGCAAGAACGCGAATTGAGCATATATTATGAAGCAAGATTTGGTGATTTGATACTTTAAAGAGTACATTTGATTTATCTTTACAGTATTGTTGAAGAACTCTTGTGAAGTTTTTAAGTTTGATCCAATAAAGCTTAGCAAGATTTGGTAATTTGATGCTTTGAATAATACTTCGATTTATATTTAAAGGGTTATTGAATAACTCTTATGGGGCTTTTAAATTTGATCTGATAAAGCTTCATTCTTTATAGACTTTAAGCATAGATGAAGGAGACTTGAGAACTTTTGAGAGAGCTTCCTTGTTTGAAGAGCTTGTCTTGAAGAAAATTTGTATTTCCAAAAATCCTTTCTCATTTTTCTCTAAGTTGAGGTTATGTATTTTTAGATATCTGCAAACGTTTTTAGGTCTTTTTCCAATGTCACATAACATAATTTTATTGGTTGATATTTATTGATGAAATCTTGTATTTATGACAAGATATCTTGACGGGATCTTTCATTTATGACAAGATATCTTGAATATTTCATCCTAAGTGTCAACCTTTTATTAATCAGAAAATATATGAATGCTCATTTATTTTTCATATTATATAATTTAATTTAATTTTATTCTTTTTTTAAATAAAATAACACATGGAGAAATTTGATTCGTTGAAAATTTGTGTTTCTGTAGATGCCCCTCGAGACAAGCTCACTTTCAAAACAAGTGAGCATATTGATTAGTACTTAAAAGTGTATTTTTATCAAGGTTTTATATCATCATTTTACACTTGAAGTATTAATAATTTCTTAACTAAAGCATGTTTTATAATAACAAGTTTAAAACCATAAGATACCTTTAATTTATGGTAAGTATTGTAGGCTTATCACATAAATGAAAGGATTGATTGATGAGTTGAAGTACTGAAATTGAAAGGATAAAGAGAGGATGAAGCTTAGAAAAGAGATATTGGTTTAGTCCAAACTAGAGTGCTATTCAGTAATTGGATTATAACTAGAGTTGTAGAACTTGGATTTTAGTATGCTTTATATGGATGGAAAGCTAAGATATTGTTCTAAAACTTTCATAGAAAGACAATACTCAATTTTGCTATTTGGAAGTCCAAATCTTAGCAACAATGTAGAAGTCTGAATCTATCCTGTAACCTAGACACTATTCAGTGTTCAGTCCATATCTTGAGTTCTAGAAATCCAAATGACCTCAATTTTTTTCCCTGGAAAGTTTAGATAATTTCCTAGAATTTTCATGGTAAGGTTGGTTCTAATTCTGATGTTATCAATGATATTTTGTTCACCCACTTAAGAATGTGGTCACCCACTTAAGAATTGTCACCAAGTCAAGATGTGGTCACCCACTTAAGAATTAGTTATCAAATTAATAATTTTAAATTTTGGCCTATAAAAGGAGACATTTGCCATGCATTTAGACATTTTGGTTTTCAGATCAAGATCATGTTTTTGCTTCCTCTTTTTATATTTTTGTAATGCTTAACTTTTATTTGCATTAATATCTTATTTATGCTTTTTATTTTATTTTTTTTAGTTAGTTTACTTATATCTTATTTATATTCTTATCTTGTTTATTTATGTTTCTTTCTTTCATTATGTTTAATTAAGTTTATTATGTCAAGGTGAAAAGGTTATACTAATGGTATAAGAATAATTATAATATAAACTTAACATGGACTTTAATGTTTGATACTAACATGTTTTATATTTGTTATCATGTTCACTTTTAATACTTTGCTTATTAAATGGTTAATTTAAATTTATGTTGTATAACTTTTAGTACAACAAATACTTGGTACTTTCATAACCCAAACCATATGGTATAATCCACACCTATGCTATGAAAATAACATAATTTGTTGTTAATATAAGTTATAATTATGAATGCTTGACAATATTTACAAGTATTAACATTATTCAAATAAGATAACTAATGTAATTATGTTAACAATTTATAATCTAATTGGAACCTCCAGTTGAATAATGAGAATTTATATTATACTTGTTTGAAATACCATTAGTAGATCCTCTAACCTTGACAATTATTTTTATCATTGTTTACTCCTTATATTAATATCACATCTCAAAGATCTTATTGTTGTTATTATTATTATTACTAATATTATTATTCATATTATTATTACTACTACTATTAATATTACTATTATCATTATTATTACTATTGCTATTACTACTACTACTACTACTACTACTATTATTGTTGTTGTATGATTGCTGTTTATAATTTATACAATTAATCTTTTTGTTGTTCAACCCGATCTTGCCAGATTATTTACTATTTCAAAACTTCTATACTTGGAAGAAGATATCAATCTTTTAGTTGTATCACATATCTTGAAAGATATGGCTGAGAGGATTTTATATTTTCGACTAAAATTTGATTTGATTATATTATATTTTTATAATAAATAAATAAATTTGATTGGGAAAATAAAATATAATAATCAAAATTGAAAATTTATGAATCAATTTTTATTGAAATTTATCAAATCAAATAATAAAATATCCAAGATCAATACCTCATTTGAAACAGCTGCACATCTAGGAAACAAACAAAATGTTTCTTCAAACATAAGTAACAACCAACAACTTTGACATACCTGTGAGAATATTTTTCTTTTTTCTGGAAGTGGTCACTATAACATTTTATTTTAAAGATTTTACTACTTTGAATCCAACTGCCAATCCATTCGTAATTCCGACTAACGGTTAGGAAGTTACGAACTATAAATGTTGCAACTCCCTTTTCTCTTTGCCTTGGAAACCGTGCCCGACATCCTTTGTTAATTTCAATATTTTCCTGAAAGAATTTCTAGGGGCAAAATAACTTCTTTACATAAACTACTTTGCTTAATTGACATCCTTTCCTGAATTAATTGCTTAGAGTGAGTTAACTGCTTAGAGAGAGCAAAAGATTCTCCAATACTGGTAGCTTGACTTAGCTTAATCGACCCTTTTTTTTCCTGAAAGAATTGTCCAACGTGAACAAATTATTAAGGAAAAGAACAAAAGAATTTCCTTTACTGGAAGCTGCCTTCGCTCTCATAGAACAAGAAAGATTTGTTGTTTTAGATTAGGAAAGAATTACTGAGGTAGCTATAAAAGAGCATTACATTGCTCTTTTATTGTTACCAACCACGTAGTCTTCCCTTCTGCTTTTTGTTAACAATACAACCTCCACCTAGCAGTTTTTCTCCACCTTTGCAGTCTAGCGTCACCAACAGTCTTGGCAGGTATGTATGGCTTCGTCTTTTTTTAACTTGTGCAGGTGACTTTGAGCTATCAAATGGCTCATGCCTAAAGCAGTCTCTAACTAGGTGGTCATTATCATCAAATAAATTTCATATGAATATTTGGCGATTCTAAATCATATTAATATCAAGATTTATTTTTTTTCTTGCACAGGTTCTTCACCTTTACTGGAAACCAAACCGTCACCTATAACTATTTTAATGTCCTTTTCATCACCAACTAATCTTTATCAACGTCAAAAGCATCAGATTTATGGAGCCATCAATGTCGACTAGAGTAGAGCTGTTATCAAAATATCAAAGGCTCTGCTTCAACCACTTGTCAAAGAGAATAGAGAATATAATGGTTAGCAAGTTTGTTAACATGGTTAGACAGTTAATGAATTCTGTTACTATTGGGTAGAATACGTAACTAAGTTTCTCACCTTCTGTTGATATAAAATGAATGTAACAGTGCTGGGAATGTAGGCATTGAATAATACTCAAACATTTTCTTCTTCCTCTGCATTACAGCAGCATCTTTCTCTACTTCTATTTGCTTCTTGTTCATCTTTGTAAACAATTCTTGGTAGCTTATCATGGTATCAGAGCTTAGGATTGTTAGTATCTTGTGAGCTTGTGATTTCTCTACTTCTAATCTCTGCTTCTGGCATTATAATTGCCATATTTAACCAATTCTTTCATCATAATCAATTTGCCTATATTTGTTTGATATATTGTCAAACTAAAAGATTTCTCTTCAAACACTCTTCTTAAACCCGTGATTCTCTTCTTCACTATCTTTTGAACTTCAAAAATGGTAACAACCTCTCAACTACAGATTATCCAATCTCCTATTACCTCTTTCCTTCCTACAGTTTCAACAGCTGTAACAGTTAAATTGGATGACACAAATTATCTCATCTGAAATTTTTAAATGCAAATTCTACTGGAGACTCATGGCATTTTAGGATTTGTTGATGGATCAAGAAAGTGTCGAAATTGGTTTGATGCATATTTTGATATTGAAGGTGTTGAAACTGATGATCATCAAATTTGAAAAATGGATG